CGACCAGACCCGAGCCCGGAGAAGTCCGGCTGAACTTGATGCGAATCCACCCAGACCCTGTCCCAACCCAACCCGAGCCCAGGGAAGCCCCTGACCAGACCCCGCCCTGCTCAGATCCTGACCTGACCCTGGCCCTGAGCCAGAGCCGGAAACCCTGGTGGCGCAGTGGTTAAGAGCTTCGTCCTCTAACCGAAAGGTCAGCAGTTCGAATCCACCAGGCGCTCCTTGGAAACTCTATGGGGCAGTTCCACTGTGACCTATAGAGTCGTTGTGAGTCAGCATCAACTCGAAGGCAACGGGTTTGGTTTTTTTTGGTTTTTAGCCAGAGCCAACCCTGATCTGAGCCCCACCTGAACCCCAGTGGAGTCTGGTCTACCAGGGGAAAAGTTGGCCCAGATTAGGGAAAATCGTAAATTTTGGCTGATAGATCTTATACTTTGAGCCACTGCTTATCAGTCCCTTCATCTATCTCCTCCTCTCTTCAGGGCTGAATAGCTCTAAGGTTCCCAGCGAACCCCATTCACATACAACTTGACAAAGACAGCTCAGCCGAGGAACGCCCCTTTTGCTTGTGGTCAGGACCTCTGGGCAGCAGAGTGACACGGATGCCTCTCTTAGCATTCCCGTTCTGGAGGGTGGGTCAGAAGCAAACAGGATAACAGAGTCTCAGGGAAGCAGAGGAGGAGACCCCTTCCTTTAACTCAGCCTTGTCTGTTGGGCACAGTTCTGGCTGTGGGTGCCAGAGGAGAGGCTGTGGAGGGCTGGAAGCAGTCTAGCTGGGCACAAAGTGCCTGCCTCCAAGGGACCATCTGGTCAGGGAGGCTTGGGGAGGCAGGCTGGAGCTGACCGGGCTGGGAGCTGGGACGGCAGGGTGGAGGTGCAAATGGCGAGCTAGAGCTGCTCTGGGTGCAGGAGGGTGGCAGTGAGGACTGTGGACCTCATCAATGTCAGCGTCTGTCACAGGTGTGGGGAGATGCAGGTGCCTGGGCCCCCAGACGTGGCTACTTCCATTCTTTTGTTAATAACAACAGTAAGAGCTGGCGTTTACCGGGCGTTGTGCAGGCATCGTTCCGAATGCTGTAATGTGCTGACCAATCTTTGGCATAGCCCAGCGCAGCATGTACGCTCACCTTTTACCAAGGGGAACCCAGGCCCAGAGCAGGGAGTAGCTTCTGGAGCCCCCGCAGCTGAGTGTGGCAGCTGCACGTGGTGGGGCAGGTTTGA